CTCTCTCCCTCCCTCCCTTCCTTCCTTCCTTTCTTATCTACCTAGATTCATGAATTCCAATTTTTTTCAATGGTTTATAAATTATTACTGTGCTTAATCACTTTTGTGCTAAGATTGGGAGACTCTTCATGCTGGGTCCTTTGTCCTCATGATATGTCCACGACTGTTTGGAACACTTTCTTACTTTCTGTCATAAAGGAATGTTTCAGGCCAGGGCCTTAGGAGGCCAGGTGCTTTAAGACCACCATCTTTGAACTTGTCTAAGTCTCCACTGGCTCCTAGGACCTCCCCGGGCCAGCACTGGAGGCTTGGGGAGAGCACCCTGTCAGCTTTCTTCCCTTTGATGCGCATTCCCAACCTCGGTCTGCTCTCCCCTTGTTTCCTTCAAGGGGTCACTCAAGATTGGGCCACCAGCATGGTGCTGACATGCTCATTTGGGGTGACTTTCACTCACTCGGACACAAAGAGTTCAGAGGTCTGGGCCATTACTGCCCACTGCAGGCTCTTGGGCTTGAGCCTGGGCATCAGCTCCCTCCCACCACGTTCTGATCAACACCTGAGCCTTGCCTATCCCCGCTGAGGCTTTTTGAGACCCTTCCTCTGTGACCAGAGTTAACCAAGCTGCAAGGTCTAAGGCAACGGCCCGCATAAGACTGGCCTCACTTCTGACACCCATTACGAGTTTGAGGAGGATCCCCAAATCACCCTCAGTTTTGATAATTTGATAAAAGGACTCCGAATTCACTGAAAACTGTTATATTCATGGTTACAGTTTATCACAAGGAAAGGATACAAACTGAAGCCAGTGGAGGGGAGAAGCATGTTAAGAAAGAGCCCAGGGGGGATCGAAACACGGAACTCCAGTCATTTTCTCCCTGTGGAGAGAACCTGTCCAGGCCATATGTAGGACGGTACATCTGGAGTTTGCCAACCAGGGAAGCTGACCTGAGCCTTTAGTGTCTGAAGTTTGTGTTCATGTTTAATCGCACACTGCCCACACACTGACCTTTAGCCTCTAGCCCTTCCCGGAGGTTGGACTAAAACTTTAGTCTCTAGTACCTCAAGGTCAGAACTGATACGCTGCAGCCCAAAGATCCCGTTGTTAGATTGTCAAAGGCTCCCAACAGGTAGGACATTCCAGGGCCAGAAGATCATCTCCCAGAAGCTGAAGGTGAAGGCCAGAACTCTCTTTGGGCCAGGTTAACTCTTCACTACACATGGCAACGCCAGTGAGCCTTTCCACCCTACGTCCTTCCTTGCCCTCGAGGGAGTCTTACGCTGCGCTTGAGCGCTGGAGTGCAGATAGGCATTCCTCGCATAAATGGTACCGGTCTTCTCACTCCACCTGTGAGTCCTTCGTGGGACCCCCCTACCCCCACTCCTGCTGGTGGTAGTGTGTGGAAGGCAGGGGTGCGGTCAACGTCGAAGGAGAGCAAATTCCAGGAATGCCTTGGTTAAGGCCTGAGGAGATCAAGAGATGACACAACAGGAGGACGTGTTACTCTACATTGTTCCACATTCTATAAGATTCAGAATGGGAAGTGTAACATGACCAGAAAATTAAAAAAAATTTGATTACATTTCCCTGCACACTTTAGGCATTCTGAGCATCATCAACAAAGCATAGAACTACCTTTGATTGAGTCACCGGAGGCCAGCATTCACAGACTGCTCAACGGATGATGGCAGCATCTTGAGCGAATGGTATCAGAAGGATACAGAGGCAAGAAAATCTATATTGTTTCAATAAGAACAGGTTCTGAGGACCCATGGCTCTTGCAGTTATCACTGTTGTTACCTTTTGTCTTGTGAGCTGCACGAATTTAGCCAAGGATAGTACTTTTGGCAAATAGGAGGAGATCCAAATAGCCTAGATCCCACGAAGGATCTTCATGTGTACTTCGAACAATCACACAAAGGTAACAACCTCTTTCCTCTCAGTTAGTCTAAACCTTCATTGATAAATCACCATACCTTATGTGGTCTCATGAATTCTGTAATGCATTTTGTTTTATTCTATTCTATTCTATTCTATTCTTTTCTTTTCTTTATTTTGTTTTATTATTAAGTAGGCTCCATGCTCAACATGGGGCTTGAACTCACAACGCTGAAATCAAGATCCACATGCTCTACTGACTGAGCCAGCCAGGCGCCCCTGTAATACATTTTTTAACCAAAAATTTTATCTAGACAGCCCGCAGAAATTACTGGCCTGATGTTCCACGTACCTGGGGACAGCCCTGTTCCTGGCCACCTTGCACCTGCCCCGCTCCAGCCCCGGAATCAGTCTTTTGTCCATGGAGCCTGGGGGTCAGAGACCAAGATCTCCGCATTCGTTTGGTGAGCTCAATAAACAAAGAACTTTGAACTCTGGAGTTATAGTTAACAGTTTCTGGCCTTTTATCAGACTCACCATCTGTAGTGAATAATTGTCATTTTGGGTCGTCCAGCATCCAGGCCTCTCTTCCACATGCTAGTCCCCTTCCCTGGGGTGTCTCTGTTGTGGACAGCTGGTGGGAGGTGGTGACATGATCACTTTATCACCAACGACAAGAGCCATTAGCTCCTCCTTATTCCCAGAGAACCACATGATTTGGCCCCACTCTCTCAGATGCCTTCTCCTGGGAGTTTAAATCTTGAGCAAGTATCCCAGACGCATAGGCAATAGGAGGCAATTTCAGGGGCATTGTGTGCAGTGAAACTTCTTCTGGGTTCTGCTTGTCCGACCCTCCTGAATCCCCTTGTTTGTTTGTTCGTTTTGCCATTCCCCGAGATAAGTTTTGTCATCCACCTGTTGATTTTCTGAGCCTCCAGCATGTTTGTAATAAATATTCTTTTCTTCTTCTCACCTGAGATGGTCAGTATTGGTTTTGTTTCTTAAAACAATGACTCCTGACTGAATCAGCATACTATTTATTCCCGGGTTTTGTTTTTATATTTGTCATTTGGTACCAAAAGGATTTCGGTTCCGTTAAGTTTTGCAAATGGTAATAGTTTAACAGCTTGTCTTGCAATCTCAGGATCCACGTAAGTAAAGTCTTCCAGAAGCTTGAGGGTAGAGTTATAGGAAATTTCCATTTCAACATTGAAGCATGGAGTGTATCTAAGAATAGCTCATAATCCTTAGTTGGTGATTGTTTAATTTTGAAAGTGTTAATGAAGAGCTTTCTCAACCACTTAAAATTTTTGCTGTTCAAAAAAGATATTTTCCAAATATATCTTATAGCATGAAATGTTCAACGGTATAAATACAAAGAAACTCAAAAATCTCAGGGCTCATTCCTGACACTTAAAAGTTTTAAAACCACTAAATCTATCTTGTTTTTGCATATTAGAGACAAACTTTATTTCACTTTCATCCTCGGTGCGTTATTTACATTTATAAGCATATAATAAAGAGATTGAGGTCAGCACAAAATAGTTCAGCCCTTCGGCACAGTGAAAACATTGGCAGTCTCCATTGTGTTTAAATTTGTGTCTATCACATTGGAGTATATGCAAATGTGTGCTTATACACTTCCAAAAAATAGTAAAAAAAAAAAAAATCCATTGTGAAAAACAGAATTTGGATTATAGGCTTCTGTGTAGAATCCTGAAAAACCTGTTGGAAACAACAGGGTTGCTGGGAATACTCTTCCTCTCCTGTTTTATTTTTAAAAATCGTACGTTTCTAGGCTTGGATAAGGTCCTACCTCCTTCCTGGCCTCTTCCTTATGCCCAGCTCAAAGGAAATATCTCCCTTCCCTATGCTTAAAGCAATTATTTCCCTCCAATGGAAGAGAAGAGGCAAGACCTGGTCTTCCCTGACTGCTCACCACTTGGACGTGGGATGTATTTATTTAATTCTATTCTCATATGTATACTTCATAGAGACAATGCCTTGTTTTCTTTTTTTTTTTTTCAACATTTATTTATTTTTGGGACAGAGAGAGACAGAGCATGAGTGGGGGAGGGGCAGAGAGAGAGGGAGACACAGAATCGGAAACAGGCTCCAGGCTCTGAGCCATCAGCCCAGAGCCCGACGCGGGGCTCGAACTCCCGGACCGCGAGATCGCGACCTGGCTGAAGTCGGACGCTTAACCGACTGCGCCACCCAGGCGCCCCTGACAATGCCTTGTTTTCACAAATGTATTTTAAGCTCCTTAAAGTCATGAGCCAGTTCCTGCACAGATATTTGTCACTTGATCGGCATTAAGTTCCACTTTTGCCCTCCAGGCTCATTTTTATCTACCTAGTGGAGTGTTTCCCAGTCATGTCCCCGGCCACCTTTCCATGTGGCCTTATCTTCATGCTGCGTGTACTCTTTTTACTAGACATTTTTCTGAGAATTACGCACTCGTAAAATCTAAATTAACTTATTTTAAAAGGAAGGTAAGGAAGATCTCCGGAGTGTCTGGCTGGCTCAGTCGGGGCATGCAACTCTTGATCTTAGGGTTGTGAGTTCAAGTCCCACGTTGGGTATAGAGATTACTTAAACATAAAATATAAATACATAAATGAATAAATAAATAAATAAATAAATAAATAAAAGCTTTCCATAAATAGGAAACCAATATTGTTTGCCACAAATTGAAGGTACTATAAAAACAAATACTTGTTTAAAGTTTATTTATTGGGGCGCCTGGGTGGCGCAGTCGGTTAAGCGTCCGACTTCGGCCAGGTCACGATCTCGCGGTCCGGGAGTTCGAGCCCCGCGTCGGGCTCTGGGCTGATGGCTCAGAGCCTGGAGCCTGTTTCCGATTCTGTGTCTCCCTCTCTCTCTGCCCCTCCCCCGTTCATGCTCTGTCTCTCTCTGTCCCAAAAATAAATCAATGTTGAAAAAAAAAATTAAAAAAAAAATAAATAAAAAAAAATAAAGTTTATTTATTTATTTTGAGAAAGACAGAGCGCACAAGTGGGGGAGGTGCAGAGAGAGAGGGTTATCACGAACGGTTATCATGATCATGACCTGAGCCAAAATCAAGAGTCCGACGTTTAACTGACTGAGCCACCCAGGCACCGCAATACGTTTTTTCCTAAAGCAACACTGTTATTTCTTAAACTCCAGCCAGCTACTGCCCTCTTTGGACTTTGAGCCCAAGGGGAAAAGGAGATCAGCAAGCGTTAGAACCATTTCTCCTTAACTAATCAGAGGGACTTGGAAAGAGCAATGGAAAGGGAAGACCTTTCTTTGTCACCATGGGAGTCAACGTTGTAGGAGTTATCCACATCAACTGAGACCACCCTGTGTATCATGGGAGGCAGACACCCCCTAAGCTGAGAAACGCTAACATAAGAGGAGCAGTTAAAGAGTAGTAAGAAATGTCTTGTATTCTGTGTTCTTGCTTTGTGTGTTTCCATGACATATACTACAATTTCTTCACCCTTGCTTGCATTGTGGCACCACACCATGCACTTCTCATCATTGACTGAGCCTTAGGTTTGTTGTCTACAAAACATGAGAATTCTACCACATGCTCTTTCTGGAGCTCTTTCTACTCTTTACCAGAATCTATGATCGCTAGCTCTTAAGCATTCAATGGAACCTGGAACACATACCCCTGTTTGCCATCACCACCCAGCCATCGATCACTATTCATCAAATGTTCCGCACTGGCTCAGTCAGTGAAGGAGGATGATGGATGTTGCCCTTCCCCCTGACAAAGGACCAGAGTTAAGTACAGGACAGATCCTTTCTCCCTTGAAAGGCAAATGCTCAGGGAATACAGAGAGGTTTGAACTTGGCTCTAACCCCCCAGAGTTTCCATTGTTCCAATTACTCCTGACTCTCTCACATTTTATTTCCATAAAGGGAAGGGAATCATAGACAAGCTAAATATATTTTAGCGTGCAATCCCAGTTTAAGTCAGCTAAAGGGCAACTGAACTATAAAATCATGCTGAAATCACCCAGAAATCATTTTTTAAAAGCAGAGTGTGGGGGCCTAGTAGAGTTGATGGCAGTAAGAATGGGCAGATTGTGAAGCTGGACTTCCCCTGGCACTGTGAACTTCTGGAAGCCCTAGCTTTCCATCCATTACATTAGGGATCTGGGCTTCACTAGATCGCCTTCATTCTCTCTCCTAGCAATGACCTTTAATATTTCCAAAAATCCCCACTTCTAAGACAAAAAAAAAAAAAAAAAATCAGGAACCCAACTTGTAGTTGGTCCTAAAACCAACAAATAACCCAAAAGGCAAATAGGAGTTAAGATTTAGAAATTGTCTTTTACATAATAGTTGAAGGAAAAAAAATCTTAGATGAAAAAAATAAACGAGAATGCCTTGTAGAATGGGAGAAAAGGTACTTCTCTGACCTGGTTCATGTTAATACATAAAGTTATCATTTCATAAAATGCAATTTCTGGATGAGCACGTTACATTTTATTCTGAGCAATACTAGTAACAAAAATATTTGCCCGCAAATACGTGTTGGAAAACTGTTGGCATCACTCAACAGTGAAACCTACAAGCCTGCTTGGGGATATGTCGTATTTTCAACGCTAAACACTTAGGCCAGCTCACCTGCCCAGCATTTAGCCGATAACAGAGATACAGAGGAGCTTATATTTACACTAGCAAGGGGTATATACAGAACTTAGGAGGAGAGGGAAAAAAACCTCTTTTCCCTCTACCCTTCTAGGTTCTCAGCTGGGGCTCTGGAAGGAAAGAGCATCGTAAGAGAAAAGCCTATGCATTTATTTCATGTAAGTTTCACATGATACTGGAGCCTTCCTAAGGAAATGAAACCCTAAAGAAACGGTTAATCCTGAATGTTCATACTAGGTTAGATGAAGAGTGGAAAGTGGTAGGAGAAGGTGACAGGATAAATAGGCATGAACTAAATGCGGTAAATTGAAGAAACTTAGCAAAGGCTGTTCATCTGGATCCCTCTTGGAGTCCCTTGGTCTTGGAGGGAAGGATGTTCCTTTTCTCTGGGTACATGCAGGGAGAGTGCCTCTCACGTGAGGGTCTATGACCTACAGCAGGGGGAGGTTGGATGTCGCTTCCTGCCCCTGCCATTTGTCATATTCCTTAAGCTTAATATATTTGACATGTCAAGGCGCCATGTTTTGGGGTAGCGTGTGGTCTGAAGTCCATCACTACAAAGTGAGCATGCTCACCACCCTAGACACACTGGAACGTTCCACCGAAAAGCGAGCCTCTAGAGTGCTTATGCCAAACAAACCCTGAGTGAGGGGGTGAATTTTTAGCCACCTCTACCATCACAGGAAATGAGAGTCCAGGTTTTTATTACCGACTCTCATGACACAACTTCTGTTGGAGGAGGTATTTAGAAAAAGCAGAGACTATAATTTTATGTAATAAGATTTGTTCCTACGCAGGAGCCACTTCAAGCCCGTCTGCAAAGTGAAGCAGTCATCCTTTGACTTGTCCTGCCGTCTCAGTCTTCCCGATTAATTAGAGGCAAAAAACCGGTTCAAGTTATATGTACTTTCTCTCTAGTTCAAGAAAACCTTACCAAAAATGTGTATATCTCGTCAAGCAAGCTAATTAGGTAACTAGCGCAGGGGAAGTAGTGAAAGGAGGAAGGCAGGACTTTCAACTACTAAAGAGAAGCTACCGAGGATCCTTTACAGGATCAAAATGCTTTCGAAGCTTTTCTTCCAAAGTCACTGGGACCCTGACTTTTTGTGTGTGTGCAAAGGGGTAAATTACGGGATTACTAGTCTCATTACTGAAGATCCATGCACCAATCCTAGAGAGACGTGACGTGGGAATGGAATTAGAGTTACAAACTCCGAGCTGCATGTAACTGTGTATGAATGTGGTCTAGGTGTCCAGTGGGAGACTCATGCATTTTAGGTGAGGTGGCAAATCGCCGCAGGGGATACGAGAAAGCTTCCAGAGGTGATGTGATCTACTGGGATCTGGGGTCTCCTTCCAGGTCATCTGGAGACAGGGAGAGTGGCCACAGGGGGGTTCGAACGACACAAGATTGGCCAAGAGTTGATCACCGTGGAAGCTGGTGATGAGTACGCGGGCGGTCGGCATACCGCATTCAACACCTGAATTTGAAATTGTCCAAGATGAACTGTTTAAAAGTCTGTCAAAAAAAAAAAAAAAATCTCACAGAGGGCCAGTGGCCAGGGAACTGAGGGGGCAGCAAGGATACAGGAGGGAAAGCTTGTGTCGAGGGAGCAAGCAGGTCAGCTGGGCGAGCGTGGGCCCGACTTGGCTGGTGTCTCACCTTGCATTTCTGCCCCTCCGTGGCAGGCGGGAGAGATCCGAAGATGTGTGCGAGCGCCTGCCCGGAGTCAGACTGCGATGAAAGCCAGGGATGCCTTTGGTGGCCCCTGAAATGCTCAGTCTTCCTCCTGCCCAGCGGTGTGGTGATCTCCAGCATACACTTCAAGAGCACCTCCCTACCAGATCCCACCTGAGCAAAGGTTCTGAGCTCGTAGCATTACTGTTTCGAAGAAACATGACGGTGCTTTCCTCGCGTGCGTGTCTGTGTTTATTGACCTGTCTGTACATGTATCTCGGGAGGAGAGGGAGGTGGGATCCAACCAGTGCAGGGGGCGTTAGAACAGGCGGGTACAGAGAGGCAGTGTTCAGGTTCCGGTATCTGAACTACGATTTTCGCCCATAGTGTCACAAGCCATGTTTTGTTGAGAAACGTGATTCACATTTTCTTTTGTCTCCTCCAGGAGCCTGGCCCCTGGCACCATAGAGTTTTAGACTAGAGGGTTCCCATCAGCACATAGGGGAGGGGAGAAAGCCTGTCCCTGTCACCCCAGGAGAACGCGGGGAGAAGGGAGGGGACAGGCAAGGTAGAGGGGAAGGCGGATGCTAAGATCCTCATTTTCTCTTCCTGCCCCCTCAAGGAAGCTGGAGGCAGCTTCAGAAATATCTAGAAGTGTGTTCAAAAGCTGGAAGGCGGCGGAGCATCTGGCCTCCTTCCCGTTTATGGCTGTGGGGTGCCTGCTTTCTCCAGCTTGGGCACAACTCCATCCAAGTGACCGCAGCAGCACAAGGGTAAAGCAGAGGGAGGGAGGATGTGGTTCCATGTGGTACTCACAGAGCCTAGAAGCTCCCGCGTGTATGTGAGGATGATGGGGGGACATTGGAAGCTTAGACAGTTTGAGCGACTTGACCCCACAGAGTGAGCGGCACAGCTGGGTTTTGAGCCCTTAGCTCTTAACAACCACACACCTGCCACTCGGCTCCCCCGCAGCTGGGTAGCAGGGGTGCGGGGCCTCCCATATGGGTTGCAATGTCTTCCTCGGCTTGGACCCTGGGCTCGGTCAGCGTCCAGCCAGGCACGTCCCCTCAGGCTCCCCTTGTCCCACAGCAGTGGCTGCTAAAGTCCCCGTGTGTCTCACATCCTTTGTCATACTCGCACCACACCTCCCCCTCACAGGCCTGACTCGGATCGCGGACGTGACCTCCTGGTTTACAGAACTTTCTATGGCGCTCCGTGACTCGTTCCCTCCCGCGTGTTCTCGTGGCATCTCACACAGAAACATAGTTAGGCATGTACAGGACAGTCGCCTGAGCTGGACCGGGAGTCTTCAGTGACAGGTGAACGCCACGATCATCTCTGAGTTTCTAGCCCGGAGAGGGAAAGGCACACTGCGGGCTGCCTTGCTTAAGGCTCTTCATACCCTCAACCAGAGGCTCTTGGGTACAGCAGAGGCCGGAAAGCAGAAAAAGACATTCCGAGCTAGGTTTCCATGATTAATTTAAGTCCAGCCGGTCAGGCATTCATGTGAGACTCTGATTTAAGACCGAGCGACGTTTTGCAAAAGGCAAGAGACGGGGCATTCATTTTGCTGGGGTGGATCTTGGTGTTTAAATTGTGACAGCAATTCCTAACGCAGACAGATCTATAGAGTCTGTAGTCCACACACATTTGTCATGGGGGGGGGGGGAGGAAAGGATAAACTTAATGAAACTGCTCCCTTACAGATTGCCAACAGCATCTAAGAATTGATAATGGTCCCCATCCCAGTTAGCCAGTTAACCATTACTTTCTCACTTGCCTTTTCACAGAAAGCAGGCTTTGTGTTATATTTGATCTAGTTCTATTAGAAATCCTGTTACATTTGCCCCAGAGTCTAGTCGTTGAAAAGAGTGGGAAACAGTAAACCAGAACAACAGCATAATCAGAAGGAAGGGTTATTACTGGCAGCAAAGTCGGCAAATGCCCCCTGAATTCCCCAAAATCACACCAAAGAGGTCGGAAGATAAGCTTCCACGTCGTGCTTCTCCTTAAGGTTTATTTGTATGACTTCAATTATATTTCTTTCCACCTTTGGGATTCTGTGCTTCTTTGGCATCTAGGATTTATGAGCAAATTAGAGAGTCCACCAGGAAGGGTTCTGTAGACATGGGAAGGAGGTGGAATTTTACCAGCAAGGCAAAGGAAGGCTCAGGGATTTGCTGAAGATCCCAGTGAGTTGGCAACCAAACTGGACCCCTTTCTATCGTGCATCTCCGAAAGTGGCTGCGTTTTCAATAAACTTCCTGGTAGGAGTTGAGAATGGCCGTAGCGGGCACCCCAGAGCCAAGAGGCCAAGCCTAGTGAAGTCCTGCCAGGCTCCCGAGTAGTGGGGTGGGGAAAAGGACGTCAGAGCATCAACGGAGCCACGGGAACTAGAAAGGGCAGCACGCTGTTCATAGCCAGGGTTTGGTGCGTTCTTACAAGCGACGGCACCAGGGCTGAATGAATATCTGTATGAATCTTAGTTTCAGAGTCAGACAGACCGGGCGTGCTTGGGTGGCTCAGTCAGTTAAGTGTCTGGCTCCCGGTTTCAGCTCAGGTCATGATCTCACGGTTCGTGAGTTCAAGCCCTGCATCAGGCTCTGCGCCGATGGCATGGAGCCTGCTTGGGATTCTCTCTCTCTCTCTCTCTCTCTCTGCCACGCCCCCACTCGCACTCGCTCTCCCTCTCTCACAAAATAAATGGCAAAAAAAAAAAAAGGTCATAGAGACCAGAAGTGATTGATTGGTCCTTCACAGCTCTACACCCAATGCTGAAAATAAAGTCTTAGTTTTGAGGTTGGGCAAACAGCTTGCGGCATTGGCATTCAGGGACCTTTCCTCAGTGCGACCATTTACTTCACTTGTGTTTACAGAGGGACTGTAACAAACATCCACTTGGGGTATTTAAGAGATAACAACGGTACCCACGTGGGGTCCTTTCTTCCGTATGAACAGCCAGGAGCATCTTCAACAATACAGCAGCCTTTTGTGACTTCCTCTTCCTCAGTGAGTGCTTGAGACCGACTCCATCATTAGGTTAGGTCTACAAGGAACATTTCAGACGCTACCCGAGTATTTGTCATCCGCCCCACCCCCACAAGTGACCCAAAAGGAAATAATCAAAGACACTTAAGTAATCACAATTTTAGAAAATATAAAGCAGAGCAGATGGTTTTATTTTAGACCGTTAAGTGAAAGTGAATTAACGTTTTTTTCTTAAAAAAAAAAACACATCGATTTGAAAATTTCAGATCAATTCCTGCACTGCTGCCTGGGATTGAATCTTCCTTTTTTTTTTTTTTTTTTAACTTTGTCTCTGCAGACTCACCCCTTCTTCTTCAACCATAGTCACTGTCGTGGGTCCTCCCCTGCATGTCTGTTCCTGGAGGAGGTAACAAATATCCCCAGGAAAAGTGTGGAGCGGGAATAATTGACTGTCTTGATATCCCTTTACGTGACCATGACTGCATGCCTACCCTTGTGGCCCAACACCACGCCCATGGGGCAACACCCCACCCCTTCGCAGGTCCGTCCTAGTCTCCACCCGGGACTATCCACTCTCTCCCTTCATGTCTTTCCCATTGTCTGGGTCTTCCCTGCCAAGGTCAGTGCCATGGACTTTGACTTCCTTAGGTGCATCTACATTTTAAAAGTAGGATGCTAAGGGGCACCTGGGGGTGGCTCAGTTGGTTAAGCACCCGACTCTTGGTTTCAGCTCAAATCATGATCTCATGGTTGTGGGATCGAGCCCCAAGTTGGGCTTGGCACTGGGCATGGAGCCTGCTTGAGATTCTCTCCCTCTCTCTCTCTCTCTCTCTCCCTCTACCCTTCCCCTGCTCATGCTCACGAGCGTGCGCTCTCTCTCTAAAAAAAAAAAAAAAAAAAAAAAAAAGTAGGATGCTTATCCAGAGAAATAAAAGGCAACAATCCAGAAATGTATTTTGTCAGAAAACTAATGAATCAACATGAAAACAAAAGTTAAAATGTTGTTGAAGGCTCTCGAGTGAAAACAAAACGTCCTCCTCTCTTTTCCCCATTCCCTGTGCCCCTTCTCAGGAGAGCGGAGAGCTATTTGTGACCATTTGCTCTTGTAAATCATGAGGAAGTTACCCCCATAACTCTAAATAATACGACATGCCCCTATTTCCTGTGGTATCTCTCTAAATAGCATCTCTAGACTTCTCATCGTGAAAATGAGGAAGTTATTTTGCTTCTCTCCTTTTCCTCCTTCACCAAAGCTTTATTGTGTTTTTATGTTTTGGTCCTTCTGTGAGTCAACTGTGGAAATAGACGAAGACCAACCAAATGAGAAAAGCAAAGGGTTAATTCTGAGCGTGCTGTAGCAAGGGAGTCAGACAACATCACTGGCATTTCGACGGAGATTCAAAGGCAGGTGGAGGAATAGAGAAGCTGTAGAGTGAACAGAGAAGGCTTCAGATGTGCCCAGTTTGGGGGCTGTTAGTCTGGGAAGCTGTAGGTGGGCCAACTAGAAATGGGGCATCCTATGCAATTGGTTAGGGGCGAAGTGGTCTTAAAGTTGAAGAGGGGACGAAAATCAGGGATGCTCTCAGTTATTAATTGCCTGGCCATTTGGGGCTGATTGCTACGGAAGTTAATTGTTTAGGACCCTGCATTGTCACCAGAGCTAGGAACGTGGCTTCCTGCAAGCCTGACTAATAGTGGGCTGGCTTCCTTATCATAAATAAAGGGTTGGTTGCCTGGGCTACAGGTTGTGGATCAAATTTCTATTTTTATTTGGTTGATCGATGGATTGACATTTTTAAAAATTTATTTTGAGAGATAGAGAGTGCATGTGCGTGGGGGAGGGGCAGAGGGAGAGGGAGAGAGAATTTTTTTTTTCAACGTTTATTTATTTTTGGGACAGAGAGAGACAGAGCATGAACGGGGGAGGGGCAGAGAGAGAGGGAGACACAGAATCGGAAACAGGCTCCAGGCTCTGAGCCATCAGCCCAGAGCCTGACACAGGGCTCGAACTCCCGGACCGCAAGATCGTGACCTGGCTGAAGTCGGACGCTTAACCGACTGCGCCACCCAGGCGCCCCTAAGAATCTTAAGCAGGCTCCATGCTCCATGCAGAATCACACCTGGGACTCAGTCTCACGACCATGAGATCATGACCTAAGCCAAAACCAAGAATCAGATGCTAACCAACAGAGCCACCCAGGCGTCCCCGAAATTTCTGTTTTTATGTATGGTCTGGCCATCGTCT